AAGTTGCAATTCTTGATTTGGAGCTGACAACGTTGGTAACGGCTTAGCTGAGTTATAAGTCGCGGAAGTTTTGATGTTCTTACCAAGTAGAGTACACTCCGGGCATTTTTCGCAGACATTCACGATTTGGCGATTAAGAAATGGCCACCAAATATACGCCGAGGCGTCCATCATGGCCGCATGGCCTGGGTGCGAGCGATGAAGTCGAATCAGAATAGCACTTCGTAACTTTTCGGGTATGGCTAGTTTGTTGTCTATCAGGACAGTTGTTCACCACCGCCGCTTTCGTCCAGAATTGGGCCATGTACGCCCCAGTTTGTTAAAGGATTGCACAGCCTTATTGATGATCGCAGTTCTCATCGGTCCGAGGAACGGGTCTTCCCATGTCAGCTCTCCCAACAGATCCACATCGAACAGTCCCGGCAATCCGACCACCTTCTTTTTGTCCTGAGTGACCAGCGGTTTGTGGTTATTGATGGCATTAACCCCCATTCGAAGTATCTCTCCTCGTCTGGCCTGTCTCGTTAGCCGCTGCCTCCGGCACTTATCGAGGAAGTGAGTGAGGGCCTTTTGCGTCGTTTGTCCTCGAGTAACCACGAAACGTTCTCGAGAATGTCTCTGCCTGGCAATGTGTCGGGTACGTATTTGATCAATACGGCTCGGGCGATCCCTAGGGCGAACTGTAGATAGTCTGGGTCTTAGTTGACTGGAGGTGCGAAAATTAGGGGAACTTGTAGAAAAATTTTCAACAAAATTGAGGAGATTTGTTTGTTCGATCGTATTATTTGCAAAGTCAATAGTATTAGTAGAAGTATTTGAGTTATTTAGAGTAGAGTTAAGAGTAGTGTTTTGAGCAAGATTAATTGAAGTATCCATATCGTGACTGATTTCTAAGTTGTAAGGTCGGAGACAAAGAGTTTGAGCAAAAACTTCCCGTTTAGCGTATCTCATTTGCATACTGTGCTGTGATTGGTCGAGAGTACCAGAGCATGAAAAGTCGACCTCTCGCGACGGTGATATATACTCTCGATTTTGCATACGACCATATGATTGGCTAGTTGACTGAGAGCATGAATTAACGCCCTCTAGTGGCGAGGAATTATGACGATAAATTAGCATATCCTTTTGAGATTGATTAACAGATTGAGTACTATTCGCGACGCCCTCTAGAGGCGACGAACTGAACTGTTTGCAACAACGTGATTGTCAGATGAATCGAACGTTGATTGGTCTGTTGTATTAGTTAAGAGGTAGCTAATGTTGCCTCCAGTTTCACCAAACGATCTGATTGGTGGAAACTGGTTATAATTTGAAATTTGCCCCACCGGCACTATTTGAGGTTTGGATTGAGTACAAATCAAATTTAAAGCATTGTGAAAAGCTTGAATGGATTTAATGACAAATAATTCGTCATGCGATGGTGGCAATGGTGCTTCAAAAGTCGGGTATCTAGACATATAATCGACGATGCCTAGTGAGGAACCGGGTATATGTTCGATTTGATAGTCGAACGGAATGAGGCGGTCCGCCCAGCGAGAGAGTCGTGACTGATAAGACTTTTTACCATACGTTTCATTGAGGGCGGAAATGATGGCCTTATGATCGGTTAAAATAAGAAAACGTTTACCAAGTAAATATGTAAGGAAATGTTCGCACGACCATACAATAGCCAGAAGCTCTAACTCATTGGTACTATACTTGATTTCCGCGGAGTTTACAAACCTAGAGGCAAACGCAATCGGGGCCCAAACATTTGGTTCTACTTCTTGTTCCAAGCAAGCCCCCAGCCCGCTATGACTTGCATCACATTTAACTCGCGAAGCTTTCGAAGCATCGTAGTGAAACAAATTAGGGATGTTTGCGATGAGGTATAAGATCTTCTGAAACGCAATCGTTTGCTCTTCCCCCCACAAAAAGGATTTTTTATTCTCCGCTTTTAGCGAAGCTCTAAATGCGACTGTATATTTGTGCAAATCCGGGATGAAACGTTGAAGATGATTGAGTGTACCCATAAACGATCTTAACTGTTTAAGAGTTTTGGGTGGCAACAGGGATTTGATTGCCTCTATTTTTGAGAATTTCGGAGCGTAACGGTTTCATCGATTTTATACCCTAACCAGACTAGCTTGTTAACTGAAAACTCACATTTACTAAGTTTCAACGCCCATCCTTCTTCATCCAATCGATTCATCACTCTTTCGACTAGTACATTATGATCTTCAACTCTTCCTTTAGTGACAACCAGTATATCATCGAGGTAACATATGACACCTTCCAACCCTTGTAACGTACAGTCCATCGCTTTCTGAAATTCCGTAGGCATGTCCTTCAGTCCGTAGAAACCAGTCTTGAATCGATATGTGCCAGTTGCCTCTCCGCACAAAATACTAAAGTTACAATGACCACTGGTTAGTTCCGATAAAGGTAATTGACTGAAAGCGTATTTAAGGTCCAGAGAAGTAAACCACACCTCCCCAGGTGTGTCTCTAGTTATGATTTGAGCCGCCGAGTCGATCAATTCATGCATATTAGGCATTTGATATTTGTTTTGCCAGATTTGGGCATTCATGGGCTTAGCATTCAACGCGAGTTTTATAGACCCGTCTTTCTTTGCTGTTAGGACTATGGGTGCGATGAAATGATCCGTAGTACACTTTTCTAACTTTTCAATGTGCTTGTCTATAATTAACTTTTTAATCTCAGCCGTGACCCGATCTTGTAAATGTATAGGAACTTTTCGGCCTTTAACTTGTCTGGGCACCAACGGGTCTTTAAAATTAGTGAATACTTTATGGTTTTTCGACCTCCCCAGCCTGCTGAATACATTAGGGTACCTTTTGACAAAGTGGTCCCTCCAGAACTTTGAGGTCGGGTCCAATTCCTGATCTTCCTCCGCGTAGCTAACTTCTGCCGGTCTGCGTTGCACCGTTTCAATTCCCAATTTCTCATGAAGGTTCAACCCGAGTAATTTTCGAGTACGATTTTCGGAAACCAGGAAACACGCATTCTCGATTTTCCATCCCTTCGATGTAATAGGGATTTCCAGAGAACCAAAAAGTTTAATTGGTTTCTTGTTATAGTCAACATAAGTAACGTCTAGAGGGTGTCTCGCGATGTCCTTAAATTTAACGTTGGGAATCCGCTTCATGAGTATATCCGCCGTTTTCTTGTTTAAGAAAGATACGGGACTGCTAGTGTCCACCGTAGAATAGAAGAAAGAGTTACCGGAACGTAACTGAATGCTGAGGCTCCTTGGTTGTCCTCCCGCTGTCTTTAGAAGTTCACATTGTTAATCTGCACAACGTCTATCGCCATGATCCCATATTCCGGCTCGCTGTCACCATTAACATCAATTAAATTACACTCTTGATCAGTAGACATCTCTTCATTTTGTATCATGTTAACGCATCGTCTCGTAGTGTTACACACCTTAGCAAAATGACCCTTCTTTTTGCAGGCATTGCAAGTAGCTTCTCTAGCCGGGCACGACCGGCGATGTTCCAAAGAAAACGGGTTACCACAAAAATAACATGTTTTTTTTTTGATTTTGTCGTTGGTTAGGACGGTTTACACCTCCTCCCCGGCTACTATTTCCTTTACTCTTAAATTGTTGTACTGACGAAGTTGATTCCTGCTTGACTCGAATAGAGTTTGTAGTATTAGAAGTAGCGTTGTTATGTGGGAGCAATTTCTGAAATTGTTCTGATGTTTTGGCCCCTTTCTCATTCTCCAAAGCCAGTTGTAGAGTATCATCAAGATTAGCTTTTGCTCTGATTAATTGCCTCTGAACCTCCACATCGCGAATGCGGCCAATAAACAAGTCTTTCAATGTTGCTCTTTCCTGATCAATCGGCCAATTACACAACGCAGTTTGAGCGCTAAGTCGGGCGTAAAATGATGATAATGAGTCATTATCCTGTATGAAAATTGTATTATACAGCTTAATCCTTTCGACTGTGTAGTCCCGCTCTGCCTTGAAAACATCCTCACAACACTTGTGAAAATCAATGAAAGAGCTAGTATTGAGGTCCAAATGAGGGTAAGAATCCAAAAATTGTTTTTTCCCTCATTTCCCAGTGCGAAGAAAAGTCGCGATTTCAAACGCGCCTCTGCCTCATGGTAACACCAGTTATGTCCAATGCGCGGTCCTTTCCTTCGCCTCTCTTGATTGTACTCATCGATTCTTCTATTAGCTGCTGCAATTCGGAGGTTCCTATTGGCCACATCTGCTGCATTTTCTTCAGCACTCGGTGCTTTGGGTAGGGTTCATCCACCAACTCTGCTGGGGCAACTAGTAACTCCCCCGGTGAAATGTTGTCTTTGAGACTCACGGCCAAAAAAAATTGTCCCACCCAAGTCTCCCAAATGAAAGGTGGGTTAACCGATGTTCTCGCCCAAAAGGGTGGTATTCCGAGTAGGTCAGTCCTGTCTTCATTCACAGGAACTGCTGGCTGCGCCATGAGATTTCCCTCAGTTTGAGTAGGGAAAACGGTACTGTAAAATTCGAATATTGAATTAGATATGATATATAAATAGATAGAATAGAGTAATGAATTAATGATTAACGAATCCAGAATTGAAGTATTGTTTAATGTTTTAATGTTTATATGACTAGATTTCACACTTAAGGCTCTCGCAAGTGACCACTTCAGATTCTCAAGTGACAAACGATTTAGCTGGTGAGATTTGTCCTTGAATCAATTTACTGCACTATAAGTAGATAATTAGGACACAGTTAGATAAGACAATACATCAGTAAATAGAATATAATGAGGTACCGAAGGTCGCCTCATGACAAGTAGTTAAATAATTAGAATCTTAGTTATTTTTATCTAAATTTAAAAATCTACAAGCGTACAAGATTATCCGATTGCTTGTAGAGTTCCGACTACGAAAATTAAATTAAAAATCCAAAAATAAGGAAAAATTGAAAATAAAAACTCTCTTGTAGTCTCCTTCGTTTCAAGTATTGTTTTAATTTTGATCAAGTTTCGCTTCAGATTCGTTTCTCCTGTTCGGCTGGTGGGTTCTTTGGCTTCCAGCACGGAACAGAGTGTGAAAGTGATCTGTGTATATGTTCTCCAACTGGCACTGGAAAGACTCTGGCGTACATGCTCCCTGTCCTGGACACCCTTGTCAACCTTAATGGGGCTTACATGATGGGCCATCCAAAAATACTGGTGTTGGCTCCAACTAAAGACCTGGGTAAACTAACAGAGCAGGTTGTTGTGCGTGAAACACAAAGTGTTCCCGATCATAGACGTTTTTGCAAATCAATTTGAAAAAATGGGTTTTTGCGATTTTTTTCTAAGGTTGAAAGATATCATTAAAAATAACCAAGCAAATTGAAAAATAACAAAAAAAAATTGTTCGAAATCTAATATTAAAACAAAGTTGTTTAAAAGCAAAAAATAACAAAACAAGGTTATATTGGCAACTTTTGGAAGGTTTTGACCAAAAAAAATCGCGTTTAGAAAAATTTTAGGTCAAATAGTATCAAATGGGGGACCTATGAGTAGCCGGGGGTTCAAATTCTTGAAAGAGAAGGGAATTAAGTCACACCTTTTGAACTTGAATTCATTTATCCAGAAACATTACATTATTAATGAAATTAACGCAATATGTTCTCTGGAATGTCTGTTGAAAGAGTATTTCAGCTCATCGCCAACCGCCTTGGGAAGATAAAACAACAGGACACGTAGAAAAGTGGGCTTCTATACGTAAAATGTTTCATAAAAAACTCATTATCTGTAATGTAATTGCAAAAATTTTAAAGAAATGTTTAAAATATGCTTGTTGTTTATAACCAAAAGGTTTTGTTTTCCAGTCGACCAAATTTTCGCAGTCTGTTCGACATTAACCTCAAAACTGGGCGTGAGTGTAGTGAAGATTGGCAGCAGTAATGTGTCCTTGAAAGAGGAGGCCTCCTCTTTAGTAGAACAGTGTCCACTCTCTCAATCACTCCACCCAACTGCGGATATTGTGGTCGCAACTCCTGGCAGACTCGCAGAGCATCTCAAAACAACTGAAGGTTCGATAATTTAGTTATACTTTAGAGATTTAGCTATGTGGTCGAAAATGTTCTTGAAATTCGCATCAGTACTGTATCCATGAAAGACTAACGCATAGACACTTTTTTACCTGAAGTTTAATGGTGCTTGAAGTCCTCGAAACTATTAGAACTTGGGCAAAAACATCGAAAGTGAGCAATTGTAGTCATGTGACTTGCAGTTGATAATAGTTTTATTCTTCTATTGAAATCAGATGCCGAGTATTTATTTCGATTGACGTATAAGCATCTTCGATCAAAAATGATCGTTTGTTTCAGGCTTTTCTCTGAAGTACTTGCGTTTTCTCATCATTGACGAAGCAGATGCGCTGTTCAACATGCACCCTTTCGATTGGCTCACGCAAATTGAGACTTCGATTCATTGTGGCGATCCGGCGGTGCCTCGAATCGATCCCAGGAACCGGAAGCTCAAAGACCTTCTGAGAAACGACTGGGTTCCAATGCAGAAGATTCTAGTCTCCGCAACCTTTCCGACATCGACAGAAGTTCTGCAACCTTTTCAATTGCATAAACCGAAACTTATCGTCTCTGAAAACATTTTCAAAAGTAGCCAAACTATGCTTTCAAGTGGTGGAAATTTGATGTTCATTCCGAGTAACATTTCGGTCAAGTATATAATTTGTGAAGAAATGGATAAGCCGCTTATTTTTCTCTATTTCCTGATGGAACTGAAATTGAGTCGTTTTCTTTGCTTCACAAAAGGATGCAAAACTGCAGAAAAGTTGTTTTCGCTCTTCAACTTGATGAGCAGAGATGCCAACGTATGTTTTCTATCCAAAGCGAAACCAAATCAACACGCAAGTTTGCTCAAGAAATTCTCCAAGGGCGAAATTAATGTGAGTGTTTTTTTTTCTGAATACATTTTGTGGGCTTAATCTAAAGCATACTGATTGATTTAGTATTTTCGTCATCCGATATTTGTTTCCATTTTTATATGAAATAGCTCATAGGTCTCTTCGTTTCGTTTTAAACAGCTGAAGACACTGTCTGTTCTTTAAACTTTTGCGCCCGCGTTTTGATCTATATCATGCTCAAATATCGATGAATTTATGTATATCATATCATGCTCATTTATATCAGGATCATATATCGATGAAATATATCATGCTCATATATCGATGAAATATATCGATAAAATTCATGTTTCTAAAAACATTTAAAGAAAAGCAGTCTTTCGAGCATAGTAACAGAAAAGGATGGGTTTTCTCTCCCCTGGACCTTAAATTTATTGTTTTTGCGGAATGTTTCGGTAAGCTGTTAGATATTTGGAAAGATTTAGTTACTTTCAATGTTCGCAGGTCACAATGAATAGGGTAAATGCTCAATTTTTTGGTAGTGGTCCGCTTAGGTTAACATAGCTCGTTTGTTTAAATATTATTGAATGTAATGAAGACACTGATTTTTTTTTGTGTTTTTAAGGGAAACGTCTACAAATCTGTTCACACCAAATTTAGTTTTTAAGGCTGTTTGACTTTTGATTTCTTTTTAAGTGCGTTTTAATTTCATTCGTTCAAAGGAACCCTCGTAGGGACTATTTTCTCATGCGCGGCTGACCGAATTCGCAAAAATTCTCAATCAATCAATGCTCTTAAAACTGTCCAGAACTGACTGATTTTATAGCCTATTCGCATCGAGTTTTTTTACGTTTGCGAAATCAAATATTTTGGATTCGGGAATTAAATTTTTCCCCATAAACAAAGTTAATTATGCTTTATGAATAAAGTAAGTTTTGCTTTAGAAACCGTTAGTAAAAATTCAGTTGTTTTAGGGCGTGATTTCGAATGATGTGTTGGCGCGTGGCATTGACTTGAGCTTTGACTCGGTTTTGATCTACGACCACAATTCAGACCCAAACACATTTGTCCACCGAGTCGGAAGGTCCAGTTTTATAAGAAGTTTATTTAATATTTTGCAGTGGGAGTGTAACCGCTCATTTATAGCTTTTAACAAACTCTTCGGACAACGTCTTTAATTTTTGAAGTAATTCAGGCCTTCAATAGGAAACTTATGGTAAAGAAAGTAGGTCTAAAGACGACCTAAATTTTTATGCAAAATTGCTTGAAACTTTGACAGATTGCTCTTTTCAATTACTTTTGTCTGTTTTAACTTCTTGCATTTTATTCGTAGTTAATACTAAAGTTTTGGCAATACCGGTGACCTTGAGCAATTTAATCGGTCAATAACTACACCATTTAATTGAATTAATTTTGTGGAAACAGTTCTTACGCATGGAAACTATGGAAAACTGAATTCCGACGTCGAAATGAGCAGTCATAGGTTAAGAAACTCGTTCAGATTTGCTGACCGAAAAGGATAGTGTCAACAATTTGAAAAAATTCTGAGCTCTGAGCTGAAGTTTATTAGAAATAGTATTTTGAAGTTTCGCGTTTGCCCTCTGTTGCCAGCGTTTCATGTTTTTTTTTCTATTGAGAAATACATGTCAGATCGCTGCTGAAAGAAATTTGTTTTCAGTCGAGGGCTTGAAGTTGTTCAAAAAACTGACCTCTGAAAAACAGCTATCAGTTTGGTCTTCTCTTTTGACTGTTCCAGTGCAGTTTTGAAAATTTGGTTGTAATTTCAACTATATTTCACTGTCTCAAGGTCAGAATTATTTCAGAAAATTCAGACGTTGTGCGATAAATTTGTTAGAGCTATAATTATAATTAGTAGCAAAAAGTTCGGACAGACAAAAATAATTAAAAAGAGCAAATGACCTTTTTCAGACAATTTTGCATGCAAAAGCTAATTTTTGAGATAGGAAGTATAATTAGTAGCAAAAAGTTCGGACAGACAGAATTAATTAAAATGAGCAATCAGTGCTTTTTGACGCTTCTTTGCATGCAAAATGTGACGCCGGACAACCTTGAACTTTTTGTCAGACCAAATTCGAAAAGCAAGATCGTCGATTATCCGATGATATGCTAGCCTAAATTTTAAATACTGCAATGAACATCCAGACTTTACTATAAAACAGTTCGCAAAATTAGTTAAAAAATTGAAATCTAGAGTTATTTTCAACAGCAAAAAAAAACAACAAATTAGGCCACCCCCGCCCCGCCCCCTCAAAAAAAAACAACAAACGCAAGTGAAGATGATCAAATTACTCAAAATTTGGAAACTAATCGCAGAAAAACATCAGCCATCCTGAGCAATATTTTTCCTATTTCAAGATTTCCCAATACACGCTTCGGATGCAATTGCCCGCCGTGGTTATAGGTTTTGAGCGAAAACTCTGCTTTATGAACTTTCGACGTTATGTTTATTTCAGTTTTAATTTCCATTGATGTCTAGACAGTTGCTCTTTTTAATTAATTCTGTCTGTCCGAACTTTTTGCAACTCTCTATATGTCTCAAAGTCACCTAAATAATAAAAATTGCATGCAAAAAATGCTCCAAATTGGCAGATTGCTCTTTTTAATTAGTTTTGTCTGTCCGAACTTTTTGCAACTCTCTATAGTAGCAAAATATTCGGACAGACAGAATTAATTAAAATAAGCAATCAGTGCTTTTCGACGCTTTTTTGCATGCAAAATCTGAAGCCGATTAACCTTGAATTTTTTGCAGATCAATTTCAAAATGCGAGATCGTCGATTATCCGATGATTATGCTGGCCCAATTTTTAAAGACTGCGATGAACATCCAGGTTTTACTATAAAACATTTTGACTCTTCGGATGCAAATGCTCGCCGTGGTTATAGGTTTCGAGCGAAACAAACAGTAAATTTGCGATAGAGCATTGTATGTAAATTCGAATTTTGCTGCTTTCTGATTGGTCGAAAGTTTGCTGCAAGTAATCTTATTAACGATCTCCTCCCCTTTCTTAAAAGGGAGCTTGTTATGTAGATCCCGTAACTCTGCTTTCGACGTTATGCTTATTTTAGTTTAATTTCGGTTGATGTCTAGACAGTTGCTCTTTGTAATTAATTCTGTCTGTCCGAACTTTTTGCAACTCGCTATATACACTAATAATACAGCATGTGTAGCAGCAGTCAATATAGCTTTTAATAAAATTATCGGACAACGTCTTCAGTTTTTGAAATAGTTCTGACCTTGAGACAGTGAAATGGCGCTAAAAATGCAATCAATTTTTTCAAACTGCATTTGAACTGACATGCAATGCAAAATGATTGCTCTGTTTCATTTTTTTCCTTATTTCAAAAGCACAATTGAAAAAACTTTGCCATTCAACAACGACAATTAAATATAAATATAAATAGCTTTCAATAAATTTCTCGGACAAGGTAGTAAATTTCTGAAATAATTCTGACCTTCAAATTTAAACTAAATCGAAATAATTCTTTGAAGTTTCGCGTTTGCCTTTTTGTCGGCCTTTACGCTCTGAAAGGTTGCATAGCAAATTGTTATTGAATGAATTTCTTTTTTCAGTTGTGCTCTTGAAATAAGGGAAAAATGAAATTTTCCAAAAAAGTGCAATCATTTTGCATTGCACTTATGTCAGTTCAAATGCAGTTTTGAAAAATCGATTGCTTTTTTAAGGCCATTTCACTGTCTCAAGGTCAGAATTGATTCAAAAATTTAAAACGTTGTCCGATAAATTTGTTAAAAAATATACATCATTGTAATTTACATGTGTAGCTTGAATTCGGCGGTACGAAAACTTTAAACTAAGAAATCAGTAACTAATAGAACTTTGAAATTTGAATGGCGTACAAAAAGTACCACAATGTGACTGTTTGGGGGGGGGATATAAAGAAAGATATAAAGAAAAAGTGAGGGGACTGATTTCTGTTCTGTTCAGGTGTGGTCGGGCAGGTAGAAATGGCACTGCTGTCTCAATTGTGACTCCCTACGAGATAGATTCATTTCTCCACATGACCTCATCTCAATTGGGTCTAAATGGAGGAAGTGGAGGGGGGCCAAGGGTGGAGAATGTCTCAGCCGATGATGTCAACATAGCCCAGATGAAACCACAGTACATGGCCAGTCTGAAGAAACTGAAGACGGAAGCAAGGAGCAGACATTTCAAACGAAACTGAAACACGACAACTTTGCGCAAAACTATTATTTTGTTTCATTGCGTGATATTTTGAAGTTTAGGGTCAACTTTGTATACAACGAGGAATTTTGCGTGGAAAACTCCCAATATCTCTGTAATAAGTTTGCACTTACGAAAGGTGTTCTGGCTTCTAAAGTAAACTATGTTTCGAACAAAATCATTGAATCATTTGGTTGTTTTGTTTTTTTTTTGTTGCAAAAGCGGTTGAATCTTGATGTTAATTACCTTTTTCTTTTTACTATTTATATAGCGCTGATTTGAAAGATTCAAGACCCTCGCTTTTTATCAGAGCTGACGTTGGAGTAAGAGTTTCCGTTTTTGTGGTTATGGGAGGGGGAGTGGACTTGGAGTGGCATTTGACGTGTAGGAGTTGCAAAAAGTATGCGAAAGATATGGGCATGGAAATTAATGCCCAAATTGCTTTGTGATTTAAAAAAATTATAACATAATGCTTCATCTGAAATTCCATTGATGTTTGATGACAACTGAAAACCAAACATGGATAGGCTGTTGCAGACCGTAAACCGCTGTGTCAGTAAATTACCAGATCAGTAAACCTATTTATGTAATAATTACATCAATTGCGGAATTAAAGGTTTGTAGAATAAATTTTCCCTGAGCCAGTAATTTTTCACTGAAACAGTAATTTTAAAACTGAGGCTCTTGGGAAGAGCTATTTTATTTCATTATTTGATTCAATTTTTGTTTTAAGGAAAAAGTTTGTCATTTTGTATAAATCTCAGTTTTTAGCTACTGGGATTACGTAATTGAATCTTGAATTTTCGGTTGACTGATCTGGTCCGTCCGTTTTCGATTTATTTTTACATCGATTTACTGATCTGCAACCGCTGTGCCACATTCATAAAAACTACAAAGAATAAATTCAATATTTAATTTTCTTCAAATAAGTGTCGCATTTGTGCGTGATGTGGTAAGAGAATTTCACATAATCATAAGAATTAGCAAATTACGCATAATTGACAGCACGTGTTTCAAAAGAAGCAAACAAAAAATGAATTTTTTCTTTTTTGATTTAAAAAAAAACTATCGCTAAGTCAGCGCTAAATGAAGCTTCCGAAATTAGTGTATGGTTAGTGAGGTTAAACTCCGCCCGGAAGCATTGCATGCAAGTAATGTTTCCCCAAGCCCGGGTAAAGGAGGAGAGTTGGCGATAGGAAGGGCATCCAGCCGTGAAACTCCGCTTCAACCTACTGAATCATGAATACGCCGGCAAATATAGGGGGCAGTACACCCCGAAGTGCTGCGCGGGTGTTGTCGGTGCCGGCCTACGTCAGAAAGAATGCACTGCCACCCCGCAACTCCCTGAGGCAAATGACGGCTGCAGAGCCTGCCACGCCAGGAAACAAGTTCCGGGTTGCTACGTGGAACGTTGGGTCCATGACTGGAAGGAGTGGTGAGGTAGCAAGAGAACTTGGTGAGCGAAATGTTGATGCTGCCTGCCTTCAAGAAACTCGGTGGAAAGGAGCAGGAACAAGAATGATTGGAAACGGTTACAAGTTCTTCTGGTCTGGCGGAAAGAAAAGAAAATGGAGTTGGCATTGCTGTCGTTGAACACTAAGTGGACCGTGTGGTGGAGGTCAACCGTGTCAACGACCGCATCGTCTCCGTTACGGTTATTTTGGAAGATCGTCCCTACAAATTGATATCTGCGTATTGCTCACAAAGCCAGTTAACAGAAGATATGAAAATTCAATTCTACGATGCCCTTGAATGTGAGTTGCTAACGACCGATAACCCGCTGGTTGGTGGTGATTTCAACGGACACATTGGCGAGGACAACTCAAGTTGCGAAAGTGTACACGGTGGTTTTGGTTATGGAAGCCAGAACCGTGACGGCGTCCGACTACTAGACTGTACCATGTCTGCACGACTGTTTATTGCCAACACTGCGTTCAAGAAACCACACACTCAGTTGGTGACATTTATGTCGGGCCGTAATGCAACCCAGATCGATTATATTCTTAACAGAAAAGGCTCAATCTCTTTAAAGAATGCAAAGACCTTTCCAGTTGGCACTCAGCATAAACTTGTTGTAGCTGACTTTACCATGAAGAAAGTCCACAAACAAAGAAAAGTCAAGCGACAACCAAGGATAAAGACTTGGAATTTACGTGATTCAGAGACAAAGAAACTTTTCACTACTGAGTTTGCTGCGATACCTGAGGCTACTACATGGGAGAAAATGTTTGCAGTGTTTCTCGAGGACATGCAGCCTCACGTGAAACTTGGTGGTAGAACCAAGAAGTAGAAGAAATTGTGAAAATGAAGAAACAACTGTTCAAACAGTGGCGCAGAAACAGAAACGATGCAAATCGGACAGCGTATGCGAATGCTAAACGTGCTGCAAAGCATACGATTCGTGATGCTATCAACAGTCAAGCAGAGCAAGCTAATGCAGAAGCTGACTCTAAGAAGATCTTCAATATAGCAAAGCAAAGGGCCAAGCAAAGACAAGACGTTGCTTGAAGACGTTGACAAGACGGCACGAATTGCTTGAAGGATGCAGAAGGGAAACTTCAAACTAACTTTGCTGCTCGTAAGAAAATATGGAAAGACCATATCCATGAAATCATGAATGTTGAACAACCTTACACTAGTAGTGACAAACCGGCTGTAGAGGGACCTTGTGAGGAAGTTACAGGGGCAGAGGTTAAGAGTGCCTTGCGAGCTTTAGCGAACAAGAAGGCTCCAGGGCCCAGTGGTATCACTGAAGAGGTGCTCAAAGCTGCCGGTGACCCTTGCATTGATGTTCTGACAACTATTTGCAACCAGATCTTATTCAGTGGTAAGATGACCGATGACTGGAAACTGAGCTCTCTGATTCGACTATACAAAGGTAAAGGTGAGCCTCTCAGTACCAACTCATATCGTGGTACAAAGTTACTGGAACATTCTTTTAAACTCATGGAGAAGGTTTTTGGGTCAAGACTCCGTGATATGATTACAATTGACAGAACACAGTATGGCTTTATGCCAGGTCGCGGCACTGTCGATGCAGTTTTTGTTGCCCCTTTACTGGATTTTTATCGACCTGGAGAAGGCCTTTGACCGTGTCCCGCGGCGCCTCATTATAGAAAGTTTGAGGCATAAACGCATACCAGAGCATTTTATAAACGCTATTATGGCAACATATGACGACTGTAAGACCTCAGTTATTGTGGACGGTAAACCGACAGATGCTTTTGATGTTACTGTTGGTGTGCATCAAGGTTCAATCCTCAGCCCCCTCCTGTTTATCACGGTTATGGATTATCTGACTGAAGAAGTGCGAGATGGCTCCATACTGGAAATGTTGTGTGCGGATGACATAACACTCGCAGCAGAGACACCCGAAGAAGTCATGAGGAATTACAGAATGTGGAAGTCAGCATTGGAGTCCAAAGGCCTTCGGGTGAATGTGGGCAAAACCAAGGGAATGGGAGACCTCCCTAGTGTCACCCGTATTGCTGCTGTCGATCCTTGCGGCGTTTGTGGAACTAGAGTTGGCAGAAACTCGATTATGTGCACTCTTTGCAGAAAATGGGTACATGGACGCTGTACCGGTATTAGAAGAAGTTTATCTCCACACGAGTCGAGTTTTCAGTGTTCTACATGCCAAACCCCAGCTGCAAGTGATCCTGCACCCCGTAACAGTTTCGACGAGTTGGAGAGTGTTAGTCAGTTTTGTTACTTGGGACACACGTTGCATACTACTGGAGACTGTGAAATTGCTATAAACGAGCGTATCAAGAACGCATGGTTTGCGTTTCATAACCATGGTGGCAATTTACTCGGGAAACGAGGGTTGTCCATGAAACAAAGAGGTATTGTTTATTGTGCTTGTGTTCTCCCAGTGATGACGTACTCCTGTGAAACTTGGACACTCAAATTAGAACACAAACGCAGAGTACTTCCAACGGAAAGTCGCATGGCCAGAATGATGTGTGGAGTAACCTTTCTAGATCGCATTCCTTCGGACTCTATTTTGAGCCGACTTGGTATTCAGAAGACCGTTATTGACTGTGTTAAAAACTCTAAAATGCGATGGTTTGGGCATGTCATGCGTAGAGAAGATAGTAGTCCAATCCAAGAAGCGTATTTCCTTGAGGTCCCTGGAAAAAGACCCAAAGGAAGACCAAGAAAGACATGGATAGAGGAGGTGAAGGAGGAAATGAGAAGGCGAGGACTGACGGAAGCCGATGCACACGACCGCAAACTCTGGCGCTCGAAGATTCAGGAGCGCCCCGCCGACCCCGTTTGATCGGGATAAGGCGGCAATGATGATGATGCTGATTAGTAAGGTTAAATTTTTTAGCCTAAACGACCAATTTTATAACGAACGTTACTGTTACTTGATCGCTTTACTCGATCGAAATGAGACTAAAACTGAAGAATTTGGAAACGGGTTTCCTCGGCACAGAGGCAGCTTTTAAAATTTTAAAGGTTGTTTGAATCACGACTGAGAGGGCTTTGATATGATATATCACTTGATCAATTCTGATGATTTTTTGTGGTACCTGATTTTGCTCGGGAAAAAATATGAAACACCCGAAACAAAGTTCCTCCCCCATTTTCGATGGTCAGAACAGTAAACTTTGCGAATGGTTCAGAATAACTTGGGTTCTTTTCATAGTCTTTTTTTTCTGTCATACGTTCCCGCTGATCAGTATTAAGAGTCGATGAACGTAGTTCAGAATCATAGCGACTGATTTTTTTTCAGTAAGTCTTCGCGGTTTCACTTTGATTGTTTTAGGCTCATGTCGTTTCCTTTGTTGAAAGGAAGGCAATTTCCACTAACGAACAGCAAAAGTGTTCAGGCCGTGGAAAACGTGATCGACTTCTAGTTTCGAAAGCGGTATTTTTCAGATTTCCCAGCTGAATAAAAAAGTTCACCCTTTGATCCATTTTTCACCATTTGAAGTTGATTTAATCATAAAAGTACAATCGTAAATTTTTCTAGAGTTTTAAAAAGCTTCCAGACCATCCAGTTGTCTCTTGAAATTTCAAGTTGTAATTTCATTTTGTTTTCGTTAACTTGCGTTTATTGACTCTTCTCCCACTGCTTGTTGGCTGTTTGATATTTTTCAACGAAACACATTCAGAATTTGGAAGTAAAATTTTAGTCTGTCAGAATAACTTTTTGAAGTGTGGGAGCCCTTGTGTTAAAAACTCTAAAATGCGATGGTTTGGGCATGTCATGCGTAGAGAAGATAGTAGTCCAATCCAAGAAGCGTATTTCCTTGAGGTCCCTGGAAAAAGACCCAAAGGAAGACC